TTGGGTGAGATCACCGCCAGGAATCCCCTCCAGCCTCAATCAGTCTGCGCTTTTGTGAAGGTGTCCTGAGCTTACATGGAAATCAAGAAGTTTCTTTGACTGTACTTTGAAATTTCACAGGATTTTAGCCTGTGAAATTATCCAGGAATTATTGCCAAGTGAAACTTGAGCACACCTGAGGGAAGCATCTCCTTGGGCTCAGCTTCCTCCCATCGCCATTAAATCCCTGCCCTGGGCAGCTGGAAGCAGCGTGGTGCTGAAGAAGATCTTCAGTGGGTTGTTCCTCACGTTCGCCGCAGCTACAGGAGATCACAAAGTACAGCCAGACACAGCTGTCCCTGTCCGGCTGGAAACAACCAGAGGTGCTGCAGGGTGAGAGGGACGGGGTTGTGGGGTCAGGAGCTGTGGGGGTGATGGGGTGTGAGGCTGAGGGTGTGAGGGGTGTGAGAGAAGGAGGGGGTGACGGGGTGAGGGTACATGGGGGGACAGGATGGGGGACAGTGGGTAAGAGCAGGGTGGTGTGGGGTGTGTGGGGTGTGAGGGGTGTGAAGGGTACTATGGGTGTGATGGGTGTGAGTGGTATCAGGCGTGTGAGGGGTGTGTGGGGCTGTGAGGGGATTATGTGGGCGGTGTGTGGGGTGCAAGGGGGGCATGTATGTGGATTTGGAGGAGCAGTTGTGGGGCACACAGGAAGATTGAAGGTGTGAGAGAGGCACTGGGGTCTGAGAGGGACATTGGGGCTGTGAGAGGGTGTGTATTTTGGGGAGCAGTGTGAGGGGCACACAGGGGTCTCAGGGTGTTAGGGGGGCACTGGGGTCCGACAGGGACATTGGGGCTGTGAAAAGGTGTGGATTTGGGGTTCGGGGAGCAGTCTGAGGGGGCACACGGGGGGACTGAGGGCATGAGGGGGGCACGGGGGTTTGAGGGTGTGAGGGATACACAGTTCACCACGCTGTGAGGGGGCACACGGGGCTCTCAGGGTGTGAGGGGGGCACTGGGGTCCGACAGGGACATTGGGGCTGTGAGACGATGTGGATTTGGGAGTTCGGGGAGCAGTGTGAGGGGGCACACGGGGTCCGACAGGGACATTGGGGCTGTGAGAGGGTGTGAATTTGGGGTTCGGGGAGCACTCTGAGGGGGCACACCGGGGTCYGACAGGGACTGTGTGAGGGTGTGGGTTTGGGGGTTCGGGGAGCACTCCGAGGGGGCGCACGGCTCACTGCGCTGTGAGGGRGGCACTGGGGCTGTGAGAAGGTGGGTTTTGGGTTTGGGGGAGCAGTCTGAGGGGCACACGGGGGTCTGAGGGTGTGAGGGGGGCACTGGGGTCCGAACGGGACATTGGGGCTGTGAGACGATGTGGATTTGGGAGCTCGGGAGCAGTCCGAGGGGGCACACGGGGTCTGAGGGTGTGAGGGGCACACAGCCGACCGCGCTGTGAGGGGCACACGGGGGTATGAGGGGCACACGGCTGACTGCGCTGTGAGGGGGGCAGTGGGGCTGTGAGAAGGTGGGTTTTGGGTTTGGGGGAGCAGTCTGAGGGGCAGTCTGGGGGTGTGAGGGGCACACAGCTCACCGCGCTGTGAGGCGCCGCGGTCCCGAGCGCGGGAGCGGCAGCAGCTCCGTGAGGGAGGGGGCGGTGAGGCTGTGGGACGCGAGGGCTCCCGGCGGTCCCCCCAGCCCGTCCCCGCCGGCGCAGCCCCGCCGAGGCCGAGGGCGGGCCCGGGGGCGGTGCTCGGTGTCCCGGCGGTGCCGGTGTCCCGGTGTCGCTCGGCTCTGGGCGGCGGAGCGCCAAGGCGCGGCGGCTCCGTCCCGTCCGCCCGACAGACGGGAGAGCAGACGGCGCAGGGAACGGCGCTGCCGCTTCGCCGCGGACAGCGGGGCTCGCAGGTCATTTTCACCCTCTTTATTTAGTGTTTGTCGTGGTGTTGTGCGCGCTGTCACTTCTCTCGGCGGAGAAGTTTGCTGTGCTCGCTTCATCTCGGCTCCTCTCAGGGAGAGCTTTAGAGCTGTCAGGTTGCAAGTTGTGGTTGAAACTTTGAGGGGGGGGTGGAGGTGGTGGAGTAGTTTTGGCAGCGTTTGAATGGCTTTTTTTATATTTTTTTTTTTTTAATTCAAAAGTTACTTGTATGTAGACAATTTTAACTAGGAAAAAAAAGTTTTTGCAACCTTGACTGAATTTGCCAGGTTTAGCATGTATATGAAGAATCATAAAAATGCTTATACTCTTTTATTGTGAAAGCGTTTCCCCCCCCCAAAAAAAAAAATGAGAATCATTGACAATTTTACCGGAATGATTCTAAACTCTCTAGACACAATTGTGAGAGCTTGTTCAATTCTGAGCATACTGAGGCACGGAGGGCAGAAAATCTGGCTCTCACTTTAAAAAGGTGAGGAATACTTTGCAATAACTCCTTCTTATTCATGTCACCCATCCATATAACTGTTGCCTATGTTGATGTTTTAACATCGAWGGGCTCCTTCCTCCTCACTGTTGTGATGACTGCTTAGGCTGTTAGATTCAAACTCGGTTTTCATGGTATGAGGTGCCTGGTGCTACTTTGTCTCAGAGTACTTTCCAGGACAATATGACTTTTTGAAAATAAAGCTAAGCACTTTCTAGACAGAAAAAGCAACGCAGGAATATTTTTTGTACAAGAACATGAGGAATTTGTGGGTGATTTCACAGACCAGTCCATGATTCAGTGCCACACACTGGGTGGTATAGCTCCTCATTCCTCAAACTGCTTTAAAATTTGAAGCTGCTTTTAAAGTTTACCTTCACAGATGAGAGGCAACTGTGTCAGTCCCGRTATTTTAGCAAGTTATGGAGTACTTCTGACATAGCAGTTAGTTACTTTTAGGAATGTTTTATAATCTCAATCTGTTCAGCACCTATCTGTAATGAATTATCCAGTCAATTAGTATTTTAGGAAATCTGCT